TTTCACTTGAGTACTAGAGGTGTTCTCAAACCCTCCCTCATGTTGGTACGTAGTCTCTCTTTCTCATACATTGTGGGTGTTTAGATGAGTCTTCTCCTTAAAAATGATGACTTGTCTTTTCATTTAAAAAACAACCAACACACATTTTTGTTCTTTTTGAGAAGAACTACGAGTTCACTGATCCCTTATTGCACGAAGGGGGTACGTAGGCGCAAAGGTTCGCAACTGCGGCGGGTGCAATAACAAAAAACATTTCTTTTGTTTATAAATAATCTTTCATTCATTCCCTTTAGCAAGTTTAAGCTTTAGATTACACACTCTTTGATTAGAACAAACAAAATGGATCATGCGGAGTACTGTAGATTCTTAGAGTGCTAATACATTTCATTTGTATAATTGATCCCTGTACATTGATCTCTGATCTTTTATTTCATTTTTGGTTTTATTCGCTCTTTTCCCATTTCCCTTTTGGAAACAATAAAGAGCAGTGACGACTTTCACTTATATGAGTTAAGTCAATTAATGGCTTAGTCTCAATTTTTACTGCTACATTTTTGCTACAGTGCGACACCAAAGATTAGGGTTTATTTCCCTACATCAGGCCGAAAAATTAGGATTTACTTTTCATCATGCATGAGCTTGTCATTTGAATGTCAAGGAAACTAGGGTTTTCACTTCAAAGTTGCATTGAGCCTTATTTCCTTCAACAAGCCAACTGCTTCTCAGGAGGTTTAGAGAGTGAAATCAAGGAATTCTTCTTATGATATTGTCTTGGTTAAAGTTTTCTTTGAGGAGTTTCTTGAGTGACTGAATTATGGACTAAAATTACATTTATCATTCATTTGTTAAATGGAATTGGGATTTCTTCAATAGAAAAATAGTTTGGATTTGAACATGAAGTAAGGGTTCGTATGTAAGATTCATTCAAGGGACATTCAAAAAATTTAAAATCAAAATAGTCCATCTGTGATCGGTGGATCTGGAACTGACTGTTTTAAAGCTGGTTCGCGAAATGTCGCGGAAGCAAGAGTCGCCACCGTCTTTTATTTTCTCCAAAGGGAAAGGACAAAAGCACAGAAAAATTCCTTAAAAGAGATTGCTCTCGGTTCGGGAGGTAGGTTATAGAAAGGGAAGGTGTTAGCACCCTTTCTATCCATGGTTATCCATGGGCTCTTAGATACTTGCTCAATGTGTTTTCAAAATTGTTTGTTTGCTTTTCAATGTGGGTTTCAAAAATATTCTTTGAAAAGTTTCAATTCAACTCGTACGTCAGAGTGTTTGAAAAGTTTGTTTTTGAAAGTTTTTGAAAGTGTGTCGGTGTGAAAAGTATTTTTGAGTTGTTTGAAATTAGAGCAAGTATCTACGAGAACTTACCTACCCTAAGGAATTCGTCTGTGTAAATGTCCTTTAAAGTAGCGCCGTCCCACCATTGAGAGGTAGGTAGCACCACCGTTGGAGGTGTTCGGGTCAATTCGAGTTTTAAGGACGTGGTGATCACCAGAGCAATGGGAAGACACCTTAGAAGCTACCCTTATGCCATTGATCTTTTATTCCGAGGCAACTTATTCGAGGCAACTTTGATCAATGGAACATAAGGACTTACTAAGACGTCCTATACTCGATGATCACCTTTCGAAAGGCAACAGTGAGGCGTACCCTAGGGGTGGTGTGTGCGAATTGTGTGTCATTTTCAGTTTATTGTTTGTCTTGTCATGCATTGGTGATCTAACGATTCGATTTTATTTTTGGGCATTCATTCTTTCATGCATATTGTTTAACAGTTAAAAGTGCGGGAATTTAAAGTGCGGAAAAGATAAAAGTCCTACGCTATTACAAAGGGCGAGGGTCTACAACGCCAAATTAATCCAGACCCATTTTAAAATAAATTGCAGAAAAGAAATGTCTAATAGCTATTACATGGCTTTGGTACGAGTACATTATATTCACAAAAGAAATAAATGAAACGCGCAAAAAAAGAAAATAATCAAATGCGAGGGCGTTGGACCCTTTAAAAGAATTAAAATAATTAAGTTATCTAAAATTAAAATTAAATGAAAAATGGTATTTTTGTGTTTTTTAGATTTAAAAGAAAAAAAGAAAAATTAATTAAAACTAAAATGTTAAACCCTAGTTCTAATGCTTTTTAAGTTTATTTAGGAAAATATTGACTTTTAACCTAATTTAACTCTAAATTAATTTATGTACAATTTTTAATCATAAAAATAAAAATAATAAATAATAATATTGTGAGAAAAAAGGAACAATTAAAAGAAAATAAAAAGTTATTAAACCTAAACTCTATTTTTTTGGATTTTTAGTTATTAAGATTAAAATCTAACCTAAAATGCAACCCTAGTTTAATTATGAAAAATACTAATACCATGGCAAAAAACAAGGAAAGTTAAAAGGAAAAAGTCATTAACCTAATTCTATGTTTTTGTTTTGATTTTTATTAAAAGGAATTAAAGTTGAAAACCTAATTAAAACTAAATATTTACATGTTATTATTTATGAAAATAATTATAATATAAATTATATATTTTGGCATTTTTTGATTTTATGATGTTTTTATTATATTTATGTAAAAATAATTAATTAAATAAATAGCAAATAAAAGAAATAAAAAAGAAAAGTTAAAAATTAATAAGGCAAACCAGGGGGGTAGACCCCAAAATTGTGAGGTGCAGGCCTAGCAAATCAGGCCCATTTGCATTGAATTGGTTGACTTTCCTGGATAGAGTGCTGCACATTGACTGGAGTCTATGATACACCTTTGGTCATGGCCCTTGGATTGCTTCTAATGGACGCGTGGAGGTTGATTTTTGAGTGTGCATGGTGTACCTGGACATTAGCCAGCACATGTTATCATATTACAACAAATAAATAACAAAAAGAAATATTGGTCAGTGGCATTTAAAAGCGCGCGAGATTTAAAGTGACCAATAGCTGATGGACACGAGACCGTCTTCTTCCTTTTCCTGAAACAAAAACATATTGGCAACGGTTTTGCAACCATGGTGTTAGGGTGGCTATGGAAAAATAACGAATAGGACTGTGATGCACATAAATTGATCGCGAGGTATGCTTCTTCTTCGTTGGAGCACGCTGATTGCAATGGTAGTGATCTTGGGCCCCAATTTTTCCTTGGGTGAGAAACCCCAATTCAAAAACTCTGAAAACCTAATTTTCAATCATGGTAAAATCCCATACACGATGCAAAAATCAAATTAAATGTAAAGGTTAGCTTTGAAACTTCATTGTGATCATGAATACATAAATAAAAATGAAAGAAAATGCTTGAATTATGCTATGCGATTTGAGATTTTTTGCTTCACAGTTTGACTTGTAGATACCGTTTCAGGGTGTTTTGATTGATGTTAGGAAGTGGAATGCGTTCAGAAATGCCTCAGGATGCTAATGGACAAAGAATTAAGGCTTGAAAGATCCCCCAACTTTGAAATCAGATTTGTCTTTTTATGTCAAAATTTCAAAATGCCAAAGCTTGTTTGGGCGCAGCTTATGATCTCTTAGGCCTAGGGTTTGACTCAGTGATGATCATGGAATGGAATTGGCTTGCTCTTTTGCCTTAATTCATGCTTGTGAGAGAATTGGTCTTAGGGTTTTCACTCTTAACCATTTTTCCTCCTTTTTAGCCAAAACCTAGACCTAGTGTGCAAATGAACCCTAGCCTGATTTCTTGAGTTGGTTCATGATACATAGAAATTGTCCAAGTTCACATGACACTATTCCATTGGTTTTTAAATTTTATTTGAATTTTCAAAGAATTAAAATGAATTAAATCATCAAAAATTAAATAAAATAAAAAAATCAATATTTGGTCTTGAAACTAACCATGGGACACGTGTGTGGCATGACAAGGATGAACCAAGTGGAAAAAATGGGGCCCTTTTGTCAAAAATTGGATTTTCAAGGATAGTTGACTTTTGCCATTTCACAAAAATTTCCCAACTTCTACAAGGCATAACTTGCTCAATTTTTAAGCTTTTCACATGTTCTTGGACATTTTGGAAAGGTCTTTGAGTCCTTTAACCAATGCCTTTGGTCCCATGTCATTTTGATTTACCAATGTCAAGTTATGGCCTTTGACTTAAAGTCCCTTTTTGTTGACTTTTGAAAATGACCTATAATGTTGAAATTGATAACTTTTTGTGAGAGCATTTCTTGGACTTGAAGTATGAAGATGAGTTGTAGGAAATGTCTTTCTCTTCAAAATGAGCTTTGGATGGAATTTTTCTGATAATCCATGTGAAAGTTATGCCCTGGTCAATTTCAGTTGACTTTTTCAACTGTCCAAATATAGCAACTTTTGCATCTTTGATGATTTCTAAGCCAAATTTTGAGAATCATGATCAAGCATTGATCAAATGATGTTTGTGGCTTCAAAATGATATGTTGACCAAAAATTTGAACTTTTGACTGCCAAATGACCATTTTGCCCCTACAGTTGACTGTAGTGCAATTTAGGGTTTTGACTGTGCAATCTTGAGCTGAATGCCTTGAAACTTGATATGAGGATGCTTGACCATGTTTGTAAGCATATGAGACTTGATTGAGCCTTTGAAAACTTCCTTTTCTTGATCAGACTCAAAACCCTAATTTTGACTGTATGGGAGACTGTTACACTGCACAACCCTTGGGAAATTTTTCTAGCTTGGCTTGGCAATTTCTTGAGGAATATGGGAGGGCAAATTTTGGGGTATAACACCATCCATTAGTTTCAAGATTCAAACATCACATTCATCGTGAATTACTCAAGTTTCATCATCTGAAATTTCATCAGAGTCTTATTCATCTGCAAAGTTTGTTCATTTAGATTTCTTAAAGAAACAAGTCACAAGTTACAAAACTTACATTATACACCATTATTCTATTCAAGTAAAATATCATTCGTTTCAAGCTTCATTCAAATATCAAATTCCCACCAAGTTACATTCATACTTATTTTCTAAATTTCTAACAAAAGTTCACCATGTCCATTCATGTTCATCCATGAGACCTTATTCAAGATTCAACAAACAATCAAAGTTCCACTAAAAAAACTATATGTCCATTACAAAATCAATTCAAATACACCATTTTTTTACTTTGACCAATTCATACAAAATATCATTCATCAAATTTCATGTACATTTTATGGAGGTCATTACCCAAAAATAACTCATCATCATTACAAAAATAGTCCTAAGTCTCTTGATTCTAACCCCAAATATTCTAATCCTCATGCTAAAACTCACCTTACAATCTTCATGCTATAATCTTCAAACCATGCTTCATTTGCCATAAATCCAAATTGCCTTGCACATGTACCATCAACAAAAAAAATCAAAAGAGCAAGGCTGCACTGCATAACAAATAAGCCATATGTCAATTATTCAAACAGAACCTTGATTCATTTAAAAACATTAAATCAGAAGGACCGATTTCCAACTAAGCAGAAAATCAGAAAATATATAAGGAAAGGGTGGAAATCGTGAAAAGAGGTGAGAAGAGGAAATTGTGAAACAAAATTTACAGCTCACAAAACTTGCAAACCAAGATTGTACAAATTTTTCATCCTTATCCAATCCACCTTTGATCTTATCTAATTCCTCTCTCAAATCTCCCTTTTACCCTCTCAACCCCTCAGCTATATAACAGACACATTTATACACTCAAGAAAACTGAGAGAAAACACAAAGGGAGAAGTCACAAAAAACTCACCTCTAAGTTATTCTCTGAAAATTCCTCTGCACCTTCTTCGTCATCTGTTACGATTGCAACTCAATCTTCTCCATATCAACACCACAACCTGTAGTAACACAGATCATCAATGCATCATCGCGCATCGATTCAACAACAACAACGCATGACACCAACAAATTCGCCTCATCAAACAACAATAAAATATCAGAAAAGAAGAGAAAACGAGATGTAGGGAATGTACCTGAAGGTTTCATCTTCATCAGTGATCAAGGTTGATTGTTCATGAATTCTCACCATTTTCTTGACATCGTAGCATAATCCTTGCCTCGCGGAATCGAATTCCTCATCCAAGTGTGTTGTTTTCGTGTGATTTATCGTTCAATCTGAAGCTTGCGCCATCAGGGTTTGTTGCTTGAGGATAAGACCCAGGTTTATTCTCGTGAAATCAAGAAAAATGGGGATGAACGAAGGTTTGTGGCGGTGTCGTCGTAAATCTGAAGAAGTGAGATGAAGGCTCCGCCGCTATGTTTAAGAGATTGAGACGGACTGAGAAATTGAAGACGGAGGATCTGTACATGGCCGCGACGCAAGAGTGAAGGAGGGAGATTCTTGTTCGTGAAATCCGAATAGCCATAACTTGAACCCTAATCATATTGAGCTAATACGCACCGTTTTGCTTTGATTTTTATTATTATTTTAATTGGTATAAATGCTAACTATTAAGAGCATAATAATAGAGATGGTGTTGTTGGATCAGGTCCCTTGGGCCTTTGCGTAAACATCCCTATAAGCCCAGTATTTTTTTGGTGAGTTGATTTGTTGGATAACAAAAAAGGCATTATGGATTCAATTTGAATGGGCCTAGCGCCCAGATTTCTATTGCTTGATTACACCAATCTCTACCGCCTGCACCTCCCAGTTTCTTTGATTTTATTTTCCTTGGATAATGGTCAGGATTTATTTTTAATTCATTTTGTGATGATTGTTGAAGAATTTCAAGAGGTTTCAAAGTAAATTAAGAAAGTAGTCTTCATCAAGGAAATTCGAGGGAGCTTTTGGTAGAGTTTTCTTATCACTTGTGTGTCTTCGAAGAAGCAACGGACCTTCTCTGTTAAGTACCGTTTAAATCTTTTTTATTTCTCTTTCACACCTCATTCTAGGCTTTTATTGATTATTAGAAGCATATAACATGTTTGATTTGAAGTCTTACCTTGAAGTAGGCAATGTTTGATCTGAAGTCCTACCTTGAAGTAGGCAATGTTTTATCTGAAGTTCTATCTCGAAGTAGGAAATTTTTTACTTGAAGTCCTACCTTGAAGTACGAAATGTTTGATTTGAATTCCTACCTCGAAGTAGGCAATATTTGTGCATCTTAAGTCCTACCTCGAAGTAGGCGATATTTGTTGCGTATGCACTTGTGCAACCAATTAGGGTTTGTTTCTCACTTGTACTTGAGTTATTTTCCATGATTTAGAGCCCATTTGTTCATGTTTATTTGATCATTCAAATGCCTTGCATAAATGATACATGTTAATAGTACTTTGAGTTGATACTTGCCTATCTTGTGACCTAATTCTTGATGCAACTTGTATGATTGCTTCTTGATGCTTGAGAACTTTGAATGATGTGAATACCATGCCTTTACTTCTGACTTGGTAGGTATTAGTACCTCATTTCCATATTTCATTTGATCTTTTGTCTAGCATGATGATGCTTATTCAATTAGGTGATGCTTTAGGGTTTGATTATGGATTGCAAGACCAATTGTTATGCATGATGCTTGATGTTTGTGAGCTATGATGAATGTTGAATAATTTGAGTATGCTTCTGACTTGTGTCTACTTCTTGCTCTATCACGTGTTTACTTGATCATTTATTGGCCATGAATGAATGATTCCTCTTAAGGATGACATTGGTTATTGATCAGACCTGATCAGAAATGAACCGTCACGGCTGGATCCGAGCTGAAAGCTTTTTGAACGAGGTGGGGGGGGGGGGGGGGTGGGGGGGGGTACCTGCAAGGCACTCCGATGCTGAAGTAAGTAGAAGCACGAGCAGGTAATAGCAAGTGTATGGGTAGAATGATGAATACCTGACCCTCTGGAAACAGAGGGTATTTATAGCCCCCAGCGCTGGGCCAAGGTTCCTTCATTGGGCCGGGCAGGTTTGGCCCAATGGAGGAACTGCCAGGTTCTACGTGTGTAGTGGGGACCCGCACGTGGTCCCCTTCCTGGATGTTCTGCGTGAAGTGCGGGCGGACGGAGACGCGGTCTTTTCGGGGCCTCATTGGGAGTGCAGTGGACTGAGTCTGCCCTAGTTGGGGTGCTCGAGGTGATGTCGAGCTGGAGGTGTAGAGGTCGAGCACGTGACCTCAGGGAGCACGTCGGGCACGACTGTGACCCTTTGGTCGGCGTGGTCCTCAGCAAGTCCATTTGGATTGGGCCTTAGCAATGCTTTTGGGCCTGTCGGGCCCAGTCCAGAACAGGAGCCCCCCAAGTCGTGGTTCCTTTGTTAGGAGCCATGGCTTGAACTCAGGTCGTTTCCGCTTCGGGGTCTCGCGCCCGGGACAGAGATGCAGGCCCTCGAGGGACTCTCTGTGTCGTGCTCGGAGATATCTTCCGCGGTGGATGCTCGGAGGATCCTCACCGGCGCGTGTCTGTCGAGCACACGAGGTATCTTTCGGGAACTGTGCCGTCACCCTATGATGATAGGGTCATCATTGCGTTGGGAGCAGTGCGTCGAGGAGAGAAACTCCGTGGTTGCCCGAGGTGACGTTTGGTATTCCACGTCATCACTATAAATAGGAACCTTGGGCCCCATAACACGTTTCTACTCTTTGCGCTCCTACTGTTGCTGTTCTTCCAGATTTTTCATAGCTGCGATCTTCTGTTACAGATTCTTTTCCTCCGTAGCCGAATCCACTTTTTGATTCAAGTAAGTGACTTATCTTCTTCATTTTCCTGTTGTAATGCATGATTTTCAGCGTTTGTAGACGTTTTAGGGACTGTGCGCGTGGGACTAGCCCGGTAAACTCATGCTTAGCTCGACATATTCATGCTTAGGACCGGCAAACACATGCTCGTGGCCGGTAGATTCATAGTTTTAGGTAATAATCAGCAGCGCTGCCCGGGGTCTTCATGATCCTGGCCGTAGGTCTCATGATGTTGCTCGCCATGTTCATACCTTGGGTCGACATGTTGGAGAGTGGCCGCGTAGTCGGTTTGGAGAAGAACACATCGAGTTTTCTGGATGTCGGGGAGGCGACTACTTGTGCCAACTAACTTTTGTGGTCGTGTATGGGACGACGTGGTTTGTCGTACACTACGCTCGGTCCGCTAAGTCGAGTGTATGGTTTCGTGCCCAATTGACTGGTTTCCCGTGCTCTGCAGGTAACCATGGCGGACGAGCCGTGCTCCTCTGGACGCCACGAACATGAGGAACAAAGTGCCGATGAGGCGGTCAGCTTGATTGATACTGTCGACGACCCTTTGCTGGATTGGGTGGGCACCGAGCCCCGAGGAATCGCGTCGATATATAGCCGGCGTGACCGAAATCCATATGCTGTCCTCGAAGCGGGCCAGGGCCAGCCTGATTTCCAAAAGAATTTCGTTGTCATGCGTCCGACCTCCCATGCCCGGATCTGCTCGGTGTACCCAGAGTATAGCTTCCCGATGTACGAGATCGCGTTCAAAGATCTTGGACTGCAGTTGCCCTTCAGTGACTTTCAGACCGGGGTCTTCACCCATCTGGAGTTGGCCCCGTCGCAGCTACACCCGAACTCACTCGCCTTTATCCGGGCGTTTGAGCTGACATGTCGCTTTCTGAGGATCGGGGCGACCATACCGCTCTTCTTTAGAATTTTTTATCTGCAGCGCCAGTCCCGGGGAGGGAAACACAGCTGGGTCTCCTTAAAACAGTCGAGGAGACTATTCAAAATGTATATGGACTCCGTGAGGGGTTTTAAAGACAAGTGGTATGTCGTGCGGCCAGTTACCACATCTGCTTTAGGATCCCTGTACGAGGAGGAGGCGCCCATAAGCGATGATGACGGGGAGGCGGTCTTAGGCAACGATGGGTATCCCGTGATGGCCCGTACAGCCAAGTTCCCTGTGCATTGGATGTTCAGGCACTACGAGCACGGGACTGGATACTATCATATTGCTGCCGGGGACATGTGTTCGGAGGACGAGGAGGCGTACGCCACTCTTTGTCGGTTCGTCGACAGCTTCCACCCCGCCCGGTAGGCCACGAGGGAAGGGGAAGATGTCTTGGATGCAGAAGGTTATCCGACATTTGAGTCCCGGCCGATTGATACTAAGGCACTCGTGGAGTGTCAGACGTTCAGGCAGGCTGCTCGTCTGCTAGGTCGTTTATTGCTTGAATTTCTTTGCTCGTCATTTACTTATGAACTTGCTCGACACTAACTCGTCTTTTATTTTGTGCAGGCTCGATGTCCGGTCAAAGGGAAAGACTTTTGAAGCTGTCTTGGGACCAGAAGCGAGGCAGGAGGGTCGTGAAGGCTCCCCAGGCGACGAGGATGGGCCTGCCACATAGTCCGGGCGCTCCTCAGGTGGTGAGGGTGGATTCGTCGCCCAGCTCGGGGGCCGCGTCGGACGGGATCCCAGAGGTTCAAGAGGTCGATCCTAATGCCGACCTGATACAAAGAAAGAGGACCCGGGTGGAAAGCGGTCCGGCTGTCAGCGAGGACACCAGCGCCATCAGGTCTTTCGGGTTTCCCCCTTGTTTCAAAGAGGATGGTTTCTTTGAGAGATTCCCTCTGTCAGTGGTTGCCGACGAGGCTGAGACTATCAAAAGGATGAGTAAGGAGGATCGGAAGAGGCATCTGGCTGCCAACATGGACGGGCTGGTGAAAATGGCCGAAATGGCCCTGGTGTTGTCCGAGGAAGGGGGGATTCTGTCCGTATTGAAGAACTTGAGCAGGAGAAAGAGGCTCTCACCTCGAGCTCGCGGAAGTTGAAGACTGCCCTGGAACGCTCCGAGGAGATGTTCCGCGAGCAGACATCGCTGCTGGATACTGAGAGGGAGATGTTGGTCCTGGAGAAAGAAAGGTCGGGGAAGCTGGCCGAGGAGGGAGAGCTTCTCCGCACGGACAGGGACCGTCTGGAGACCGATGTCGAGCGCTTGGCCCAACAGATCGAGGACATGAAAGTTGCCATGCTTCCTGCCGAGGACGAGCCGGAAGACATAGCGGCTTTGAAGAGTCGATCGGAGCTGGTCGCCCATATTCGGCTACTCGAGGCAGATTGCGTCGGTGCTCTGGAGGAGGGGTTCGACTCCGCAGTCGGTCAGCTTTCCTTGTTAAACCCTGGTCTGGTCACTGAGGGGACGGGCTACACACATCAGATAGTGGATGGCGCGATCGTGCCCCCGCCTGACTCTCCAGTCGTCGATGCTGATGGTTCCGGGGATGCCTGATCGTAGGATAGCGGGCCTGCGTGCCTTTGATATTTGTATTTTTTGGGCCTGCGTTCCCGTCGGTTGTATGTTATGAACATCGCCGGCCTTCTTGGTCGGTTTATAATTGTTTGCTTTGTCGCCTTCGGGCATTTTTATTTGAATGAATGCTGTTTTACATTTGAATGTTTTGCCCGTGTTTGAAATCTTATATATTTGCATAAAATTTAGCCTAAG